CTAGAATCGAACCCAGGACCCTTCAGTCCACAGGCACTCACTCTATCCACTGAGCCAAACCGGCCAGGGCAAAATATTTTTTCTTGAACATTAACTTAGCAAACATTGAATAACTGCACAAATTAATAAGCATAACGCAAATAAACCTATTTTGTTCTCCGAAAGCGAAATATTTCCTGTTGCGCACACCAAGTCAGTACAACACTAATGACGTGGCAATCAGCTGCTAAAACATTCCCAGCTAGTATTATGGTGTGAAGTAAAATGGTGTGCCTGCGCATAAGGTGCATAAGGGAAATGAATGCAACATGATTATACTCATCAGTCATTAGCGAACGTAGCTCAATAATTATGTATAACAGGATGTTGTAAAAATTAAGTTATGTGGTTTCTATTAAAATGTTTCTTGCATACCATTATATTGGCTGGGCCGCAAAAATACTCATTGTGGGCCGCATGCAGCCTGCAGGCTGTGAGTTTGACATGCTTGGCTTAGAGCATCCTCCCGATATGTCAGGGTTATGGGTTCTATCCTCGGTCAGAGCACATACAAGAATCAACCAATGAATGCATGAATAAGTGGAATAACATGTTTCTCCCTTTCTAAAATCAATAAAATATTTACAATAATGTTGATTTTAGCACAAGGGAGAGAGACTGGACAGCCAGCTCCGGGGTCTTGACTGGAGACCTGCTCTGCATAGGTTTCTTGCAGGTACTTACAGGCTGTGAGGTTTTTCCAGAGCTTGGCCATATGTGTGTTCAACAGGCTGCCCATGTTGGGTTCTCCTAGCAGGCTCTGGACGGGGAGCAGGATGGTCCTGATGTCGTACAGGGCAGACCACAGATCCTTCAGGATGTGCAGGCAGATGTTACCCTGGGTGTCCGCATCAGCGTGGTAGCAGGGATAGGAACTTTGCCACAGGTGTGTTGGAAGGGTGGCCACTGGGGAGCTCTAAGGAGAGCTGGTACCTCATGTCTTCATAGACTGTGCCAGCTGCTCCATGGCTGGTCCTCACCCATTTGAAAAGGTGGTCTGATTCAGGGAAGGCAGAAATTCCTTTGTTGCCAGACATCATGGGGTCATCAGCTTCTGTAACCTCCACACTGTGCATCTCTTGCCCACAGGGCCCTCCACTGGGCTCACTCCTTCACCGGCAGCAGCGAAGCTGGCGGCAGCTGGGTTGCGGTTCTGGGAAGCTCTGGGAGGGACACAGGAACTCGGAGACCACCACTGTAACTCAAAAAGGTACCTTTTTCCTTCCGACAGCAGTTAGTGTGGTAAGGGTTGGCAGTTTTATGCTTAAGCTTCCCTGCTCCGCTTCTAGAAATTTCCTAAGTACACTTGTTGCTGGTCCAGAACGGCAACTTTCACTGCAGTTCAGCTTCTGTCTCAGGCTGCATCTTTCCTTCTTATTCTCATGATTGTTCTTGCCTTTTAGGAACCAAAGTTAAAATACTTCCAAACCTAAAAATAAAAAATTGGTAAGGTAAGCTGCATTCATTGTGAGGCAGGATAAGGAGGAATGGCTGAGTGACAGACTGGGGCCCATACCCATTTACTGTTGCTTCCTTCATGTGATATAGGCAAGAAAACTGCATTCCTGAGCTTTGAACTTGCTGCCCATAAAACAGATGTGTTAATGATTTTCCTGTTTGGCTCTTTGTCCAAATTTATTCTCAAGGCTTGCCTGAGATGCAACATATTTGGGTTGTGGGCTTTTTTGAGAATGATGAGAGCTGTGGACCAGAAGATGTAAATGTACCCATCCATAACTTTGCGTAGTTTCACAGATGCACGCACCAGGGGAGGACCACTGCCATTCATGAATCTCTCTCCCTCTCTGGTTTTAGCCCCAAGCTTCCTAGGGGAGATGGCTACCCTTTCCCCCCTTCTCGGCTTCATTTTTTAAAAGTATGTTTTTATTTATTTTAGAGAGAGAGAGGAAAGGAGAGGGAGAAGAGAAACATCAATGAGAGAAACAATTGGCTGCCTCCTGCACGCCCCTACCGGGTATGGAGCCTGCAACCTGGGCATATGCCCCTACTGAGAATCAAAACTGGCAACCTCTGGGTGCATGGGACGATGCTCAACCAAGTGAGCCACACCAGTCAAGGCATTCTTGGCTTCATTTTACCCTAAGACTTTCTTCGACTCCTTTGGAGGTACCAGCTCAAAATCAAGCTTGCCCTTTCCCAGCACTGAGCCTGTTGGTCTGAATCCTTTTTATCTCAGGAGCACCCTAAGAAGCCCTTGCCGTAAGCCCTATGTAGGCTGAGCTCCTGCTTTTAGATAAAACTGTGAAAGGCTGCTTTTAAGCCTGTCTCTTAGTAAAGAGCTATCTTTAAACTTGGAGGCACAAAGCTCTGTAGCAGGGCGCTGGGGTGGTGGTGGCTGAATGTGGTGAGTTGTCACAGCTCAGTGCTCCTGTACATGATTTGGGATCTGGGATCATTTTAAGGACTATTTGTAGAAATCCATAAAGAAAAGGAAAACTTGGGTAAAGTATCTTAAGGAAGAGGGACCACTACTGTGGGCCTCAGTATTTATAACCCACCCACCTGTCCCCCCAGCCTTCGTGCAGCTCCTTCACCTGCCGCTGGGGGCACAGCCAGTTAGTTGTTCATTTTGCCCTTCTTTCCCCCAGCAGTGCTCCTACCCGCAACAAAGGCATTCATTTCTGGGCAGCAGAATGGGAACTCTTCAATTGGCCAACAACAGTTCTGGAGATACAGGTTTGCCTAGTGCAGGCACAGAACTCTGCCAATTCCAGCCAGCAAAAAAGCGAATACATTTTGACCCTTTGTTGAAATTTCACCTAGAAAAGTTTTTCTGTTTCAGGAAAGTCGTTTTTTTATTAGGCCCCTCCTGCTCGGGGACAGCACAAAAGTTTCCAGTTACTGTTAAGCCCTAATGATCTCTCCTCCTGAAATGTTCAAACATCTGTTTGTGTCCTACACCCTCTTCCTCCTTTCATCCCAGGTGCCTACCTCCAAAGCAGGAAATCCCTGGGAGCTGTGTTCAGAGTTATCCATGCTATAAACGATCAATGCTTCAGTCTCAATTTCTTCTTGTAAATTAATCACATGAACCCTCAAATGTCAGTGCCTGAGAGGCCTCAGGGATCTCCTCCCATCTCATGGGCAGAACAAGAGGCTGAAGCCCAAGGAGGGGCTGGGCTGGCCTGTGGTCAGTTACCCCACCGAGACCCCACTCCTGCCTCCCAGCCAAGCACCCTTGTTACAGCTGAAATTGTTAGAGGCTGCTTAGGCCTCTCCCCGGAGGGAGGAACATGTAGTTATGTACTTTATTCAGCGAAACACTTGATTGCAGGGAGCCTGTGACATTTAAAATTTTTATTAACATTTTTTAATTTGATTTTGCTTGGAGTACAGGAAGGCAGAAATGGAGGATTAGGAGAAAGTACCCATCTTTGGAATGAGCAGGTTCCAAATCCCATTTGGCACATCACTCCAGGCTGATAAAGGGGAGGCTGGCGCCGAGTCCACAGACCCAACTGGCTCTAGGACATCACGTTGCTCAGTCTTTTGCTTATCTAATCAGATTTGTTCTTACCCAATGTTCACTAGGTCACCACGTAGCCTCTTCCCCACCCTACAAAGTTCCTAGTTAAGCCCCTACCTGAGGTCACCCAGAGTAAAGGGAAGGAGCAGCTAACTGGTCACAAACTCGCAGAACTGGTTAGCTGAGTTTAGCAGAGATCTGCTTCTCAGTGTTTCTGAAAGTACAGGCAGTGGTGTCTCCTTCCAGGCCTGGAACCAGGACAGACAGCTGTGGTCACAGCCTGCCCCACCCAGCTTTGAGGTC